AAATAAATGTCAAATCCTCCGAGACATTTGTGCTGGCTACAAACAAATCTGGGGACTATCCACGCATGCAGCAAAAAAGTGACCGCGAAACTTCGCCAATCAACCATGTTTACGGTCTTGACTTCAGACCGAAAATCTGGATGCCCAAAAATAATCGATGTCGATGTCGATGTCGATGTCTAAGTTCGTCTGCTTCACCGTAATGAAGCTCTACACGTAGTTCATTGTGCCTTTTCACTATTCAGTTTAAAGACATCTCCCATTTACATGAAAACATTCTTCTATTCAATCCTTACTTGCCATTGCTTACCATATGCAAACCGTTTCCGATTTGGCGCTGTGCCACCTGGCCGCACAGGAAGTGCTGAAAGCAGAAGAGTGAAGAATAGCGGAAGGGAGGGTCGGGAATTTTATCTCTGCCGGTTTTTACAGTTGAACGGGACGAACGGGACCATGATACACCTTTCCCGATTGTGCGCGGCAACTTTTGAGCAACTTTTTGTGGTTCTAGCAGCCTCGAGCAAATTTTGCCTTTCTGAGCAACTTTTGAGCAAAATATAGGTTTAGAGCACATATTTTTTTTTTTTTTCTTAACCGATGTTCAGTAATTATTGTGAAGAACAAAAAAATAAGGCTTTTAGTTAACTTTTATTATTATAAAAATATCAAGAAATTTAGGTGGTAACTTTTGAAATTTAGGTACCAACTTGGATTTTTGGCAAGTTTTTAGCACCCAGTTTTGGTATTCCGATGAGCAACTTTCCAGCATTTTACGAACACAATCGGGAAAGGCCTAATACAAACTAAAGGTGATGTTTTGATTTCATAAGGTTTTAAAAAACACTTATATTTTAACAAATTTTCAGACGATCTGTAAGCTCTTCGGAATAGGCTAGGGAAGAGTCCCTTCCGATTTTTTCCCTTCCCCCAGTCTCCGTCTCAATAAGACAGCGGAGATCGAGGAGCAACCTACGTGTACTATGTTCATCCATTTGATTTCTGCAAAGAAGAAACTTTCCTTAGCACCTGAATTGTTATACCGGAGGATCGGGCCAATTTTGTTCGGTTGCCCCCTTTTTTAACCGCTTCTGCCGGTTGTTGTTGTCAGCTGTGTTGTTGTTGTTGTTGTCGTCGTTGTTTTCCACGTTCTGTATTGAGGTGAGAAAAAATGCAGAATCAAAACGAAGCATACAATAATACGGTATCTTTTTTTTTTTTGGAAAAAACTGGTACGCATTCTATGTTTTCGCTGTCACGCAATCCGGGCACGCAATAAACAGCGCACAAAAAAAAATAAATTGGACACCGTCCGCTAGAAGAAGCCAACAAAATGAAATGTTATAAAAGACTAATATATAAACAGTTTGTCCAAATCTCAGGCCTTTGTGGCCACAGTTTCTGAGTTATTTGCCGAAATATTTCACGAACCTTTGTAGAGCTTTGGAGGCGCCATATTGGTGGAGAGAAACTGTCCACCAATATGGCCACCAGAAATCAACAAAAACATCTGGAGTTCACTTTTTCTATAAAAGCTCTTTCTTTTAACTCGAGAGCAAGCACACGTGTGCATAAACACATCTTTTAATACTTGAAGTGGTTAAACTGCTGAAAATCAAGAGAAATGACTTTTTTCAAAGAGACAGCATTCCTCTTTTGGTGTCACGCACTGTGATAACTCGGAAGTTCAAATTGCTGTATTTTCGAAATGAATCAAGCTTCGGGGCTGGAAACTTGTACAAAGATTTATTTTCTATTTATCTTCAACCTAGTGTAAATAAGAATTCGTAAAAACCTCGCTTTTTTGACTTTGCAATCTGATGACGTCACTGTGAAAACCATCAATTGAACTTACGAAAAAGTCAGGTTAAGGCTGGTTTTCACTAGCGACGGAGTCGGAGTCGTAATCAGAAGCGTTGAACTTTACGATCTAGTGAAAACAGCGTTCTGTTTCTTCTCAGCGAACCCACTTACGACTCCGTTTTTACAATCAAGTGAAAACTGGGTCTTTGGCGGGGGTCGCAAGCAGAAACGGAAGAACTAAACTAATCACAAAGCGTGGGAATGTGCACTGTGATATTCATTGGTTTATCATTCCGCTTCTGCTTCCGACTCCGACAATTTGGTTTTCACTAGATCATATAAGCGGAACGTAGGCGACGGAGTCCTAAAGGGAGTCGGAAGGAAATGGAAACGTTCTGATTCTTCTGACTCCGATTCCGTCGCTCTTATGACTCTGCTTACGACTCCGATTTTTGATTTTTACAAGGTCATAAGCGCTCTTACGACTCAGCTTACGACTCCGACCCACCGTGAGGAAGAATTGTAAAAAGGCTGTAGCAAATATAAAAAATTAGACCAATTCCCCCTTTTGACGGAGTGGAAAAATGTTTAAATCTGGAAAATTCTGATTAAATGAATGATGATCTTCCTAAGAAGGAAAAAAAAACTCATCCACTGCGCAAAAGTCATTTAGGCGTCAATATGAATGTCTTTCTTTAAAGTTTTTTTAAAATTCTAAAGCTGAAGGTCTCTAGGAGCAGAGAAAAGGAGTATCAACAGAAAGACAGCTTGAATTAGAAAATAATTGTTATCTTCATCTAGTCTCTCAAGTGATGAGCCGATCGCAAGTGACTGGGGCAAGGTAGGGCCAGGGTTACCGTACTTTATTTTTCTTGTTGTTTTATTTCATATTTTCTTTCGGTGACATACAAATGGAAACATTTCTAGAATTTCTACTTAGATTACACAGTAACCTTCAAAATGCACAACTAATTCAGCTAATTGAACTTACGTATACTTTGTACAATAACATATATTATCAACCTTCTGTTACTCCAGCACGTGATAGCCAATCCATATTCGCCCTAAGCCTAGTCCCGACTTAAAGTAGGCTTTCTTAGCCTGCATAACGGGCACTTTACAAGCGAAGCGAGGCCGGCATTTTGCGCTAAGCGCCAAACGAGTGCGAAGCGCAGGGTGGCCACGGTAAACAGGGTTACCACGTCCGCTTACTGGTAAAGGTGATCGCTCAACAGACGTGAAATCTAAAGTAAAAATAAGAAACAAATTCCGGGAATTTGATGCTGAAGTGGTTAATTATTTAATTGAAGCTAGCAGAAGCATGGTCTAAGTGGGGCAGTGGTAGCTTTGAGGGTTGACGTTTAATTTTCTCCGATTTGGACAGTTGCCGGTTCATTTATTCAAATGAATAAATAAGTGGGAATTTAGACCAAGAGTTTTAGTAAATGTTATTTTCTGTATTATGCTTTTTTTAGCTATTTTGTTTTGGAGGTTGTCTTGGCCTTTGACTTATAAAATTTCAAAATAATTTCAGATATAAGCAAGTTCTAAGGTCTTGTAATGTCTAAAAGGAATGTTTTTAAGAACATAAAAACTGGTTTTCCATTTTGGAGCTGTATTTTTCAGGAGCCAAAAGTCCCTGACGATCAGCTGAAATACTAAAAACTAAAAAAAGCAAGATTGAAATGTCTTGAAACTTTTTGACGGCTTATATCAATCTGCATTTTTGACAGTTGAGGGTAAAAAATAACCTTTTTGAAAACCACATTGAGTCCCCCTCTATATAGTAGTAATCGCGTCGAACATCATAGGGGCGGTAGGTATGCGAGATATTCACGAACCCAGTACAAGAACATAAAATGCATTGGCATAGAAAAGTTAAAAAATATCGGAAAACAAGCTAAGGTCTATTGTTGTTATTGTTGGTGCTGNTTCCGGGAATTTGATGCTGAAGTGGTTAATTATTTAATTGAAGCTAGCAGAAGCATGGTCTAAGTGGGGCAGTGGTAGCTTTGAGGGTTGACGTTTAATTTTCTCCGATTTGGACAGTTGCCGGTTCATTTATTCAAATGAATAAATAAGTGGGAATTTAGTCCAGGAGTTTTAGTAAATGTTATTTTCTGTATTATGCTTTTTTTAGCTATTTTGTTTGGGAGGTTGTCTTGGCCTTTGACTTATAAAATTTCAAAATAATTTCAGATATAAGCAAGTTCTAAGGTCTTGTAATGTCTAGAAGGAATGTTTTTAAGAACATAAGAACTGGTTTTCCATTTTGGAGCTGGATTTTTCAGGAGCCAAAAGTCCCTGACGATCAGCTGAAATACTAAAAACTAAAAAAAGCAAGATTGAAATGTCTTGAAACTTTTTGACGGCTTATATCAATCTGCATTTTTGACAGTTGACGGTAAAAAATAACCTTTTTGAAAACCACATTGAGTCCCCCTCTATATAGTAGTAATTGCGTCGAACATCATAGGGGCGGTAGGTATGCGAGATATTCACGAACCCAGTACAAGAACATAAAATGCATTGGCATAGAAAAGTTAAAAAATATCGGAAAACAAGCTGAGGTCTATTGTTGTTATTGTTGGTGCTGTTGCTGTTGTTGTTGTAAGTTGTCTTTAGTTTAGGCGAAGGGGTGAGGGACTAAACTAGATATCCACAATTATGTGGTTCTTCTGTCCTAAAATTAAAAACATGACCTATGATATTACAACTGAAATATAGTCGAAAATCTTCGGATTTCTCCTTGAAAACTTCGACAGTCTTCGGACATCTTCGGTAGACTTCGGGAATCTTCGGAAATCTTCCGAAATAATCGAGAATCGTTGGAAAGTGGCCTAAAACTTCTTGATATAATGAATAAATAACATGACCTTTTTGGAGCCGTTTTTGTTTCCTTCTGGATAAAATTTACTGTTGCAGAGAATTTTTTTACTGTTAGAGCTAAAATGACTAAAATTTAACTGTTTTATGTTGCAGTGCCAAACAATTAAGTGTTTAGTGTTATCAAAGTACCCCCATTTTAACTAACGACTGCAATCCGGAATCCAAGTTCCACTGCCAAAGACTGGAATCCAGTACCTGGGAATCCGGAGTCCACGGCGTGGAATCCAGAATCCAAGACTGTCTTGGATTCCCTTACATGTGGCCACTTTGAAATAACATTCTTGAAAAAAAAAAACAGGATCTTTCATGAATTACTTTACCCACAAGTTCAAAGAATACGTCTTAATTGAATTGTAATTAGCCTCACTGCCAAAATCTTTTTCGGGTGAGTCACGCACATTCGCCAGTGAAGGAGAATTAGCTTCAGTTATTCCAATACCGTGATCAGCTCTGTTACAGCTAGAGCCTCCTCCACCAATCATCATTACCGATCCATCTCCAGAAGACCAGTGACACCAAAAGCCAATCGAATTGGCATCTTGCATTGTCCCGTTGCAAGCAGCTTCTTTAAAGCCTTCGGTTGTTTGGTACTGGCCCCAATAATGGACACTACATCGTCCCAAACATTGATTTTTAGACCAAAGCTTGCCGTTTCTGAAGTCACCATAGTTTGTGATTTTCGACCTAAACGTCTGTCCACTTAGGCAGAGACCTATGGTTTTCAGAAGGACAGTGTGCTGAGGGTCATCACTGCGCGTGATCTTAAACTCAGTTCCGCTGACAAGCCAGAATGCTGAAGAAATCATATCAGCATTGTTTGATGGATCAGTTGTTTCCCCAGAAGCAACATCCTTGTCATACCACCATAGTGCATTGTCACTCATCCAATGTAAGGCATCATTATTTGAGAACCGAGCGATCAGAGTCCATCCGTGATCAGAAGTCATATCGCAATAAACCTAATGCGCAAAAAAAAGAT